CCTAGACGTCAACTTCCTCAATGACGATCACCTGGACACCCATTTCTTCGACCTAGACACCCACTTTCTCGACGTCAAACATCTAGACGCTTAATTCCTCGACGGCGACACCTAAACGCTTAATTCCTGAATATCTATATATACACCCTCTTCCTCGACGCGGTAAAACCTAGATCTTTAAGGGGATGCTGGAGTCTTCTTTTTTACCGATAAAGCAAGCGTTTATGTTCCTTGCGCGGTTCTTCGAATTAATTGCACTGAATAAAAATTCCTTCTCCACGATTGAACTATCCGTGCTAATGTACCTGCTCCTGGTGTATTTTGTGTCCAAAACTGGGAAAAATACTAAATTACAGATTTCTGTATCCATGTGCTATCAGCTCACCAAACATTTACTTCGTGAAAAAATTATATTTGCTGGAGTCTTCTTTTTTATCGATAAAGCAAGCGTTTATGTTAAATGCAATATTCTACAAATTAGTTGCACAGAATAAAAATTCCTTCTCCACGATTGAAATATCAGTACTAATGTACCTGCTCCTGATGATGTATTTTGTGTCCAAAGCTGAGAAAAATAATAAATTACAGATTTCTGTATCCATGTGCTATTAGCTCACCAAACGTTTACTTCGTGAAAAAATTATATGCACATTATATGCTCGAAATTAGGACAGGAGCACATGTAGAATAAATAGACGATTACAGTCGTATCTTTAGAATTAAGTTTTGACGCCTAAATAAAAAGATTAGCGCAAAGAACAAAATTGTGTGTCTAGCGCGTGAGAAATCGACGATGTATGACTGTTTAGCCATGAAATCGAGCAGTATTTTAGTTGATCTCTTTCTAAGAGATGGCGTTGCAATATGTTAGATAAGGACAGATGAATGCGTTTGAATGAGACACAACGATATATAATAAGTATAAGAAATGAATGAAGGATGTCACTATTGTCGAATTTGGAATTTAAAAAAGTTTGTAGGGGAAAGTGGGGGAACTGTGCGCAGCGGGTAATTGTGCGTATCCTGGTTTGGTACTTTCTAATATATGAAGACATCACCATGGCGAAATTTTTACGCAGGAAGTCGTCCTCTTAAGATATAACTACAAAAGATACGACGTACATACATCACTAGCCAGAGAAATACAAAAAAGTGAAATTAAATCTTTTCTTGTTATTTTAGCATTCAGAAAATAAGGTGGTAAGTCCGTATTTTTAATTTGTTTTAAAATTGTATATGTTATTAACATATGTTATTGTAACATATGTATTTGTATATGTTAGTACGTTATTATGTGCATCTTTTGAGCTGTTATTTATTAAGTTTGGTTAGGAATTGTTGAAGTAATCGTATTTCGTACCGAGTCGGGTCGCGGCGGGCAACTGTGCGCAAGCATTTTAAAATGCGCACAATTACCCATCTTTCATATACTGTATGACTAGCACTAGTTTTTTCGTTTCTTTTTGGCATTACTATTTTATTTTGCCATTTCATTTTGCCAAAGTCTATGTGCATTATTATTA